AGGTCCCACCGAGATTTGAACTCGGATCGCAGGATTCAGAGTCCTGAGTGCTAACCATTACACCATGGGGCCCGTATGCTGACCCGGCGCACGGTCGGCTCTTTCACGTCGCTGTTGTAATGATGTTGGTGGCGGTCGTGTCCGCCTCGCTCCATCCCCCTCCCTCCGTTACCTTCCCCCCTCCCCTCCCTGCCCACCGCGGCGCTTCTGCTTTCTATTTCTGGCGGGCTGCCCACTGGCCCACCAAACCTGTCCCCGTGAGCATTTTCTTCTCACTCAGTGTCGGGTCCTACTGCTCTTTCCATCTCTCTCTCTCACACATGCACCACCACGCTGCGGTATTCCCCGCGTTGGTTTTGTCTAGGCTCGGTAGCCTAAAACAGAGCACAGCCCACCCAGAGCGCCGGGGGCGTAGGCAACCCAACTGCCTCCCGCGTGTGTTGGTTCAGTGGCGCTCTCGGCGGCCGTTCCGTCGTTGTGCTCTCTCAGGCCCCTGACTCGCCACTCGCTACCGACGAATCTAAGCCCGGCGGGCACCTAACATGAGCCCAAGTTTACAGGCAGCGTAGTTTCGATCCCGTTTCGAACGAAATAGTTATCATTGTATTGCCTGCGATTTTAGTATTATTCTGGTCCGGCCTTGGACACTGCGCGCGCCGCCCACTTCACTGCACTGCGCTCTCCTCCACTCCAGGCGGCCGCCGCCCTGCAGAGTCAGCGCGTTATGTGTGACTTGGGAGCGGAATCGGGTTTACGCCCCGAGTTGCGCCGCGTCAAGTCGCGCTATCGTGTTTCTCTCTCCGGGCTGGGTCGCGTCCGTCCGCACTCCGCACCCCGCCGCGCCGGCCGGCCGCCTCGCGTGGCCGCGGGCCTCGCAGCGCCCAAGACACGACGACATGCCCTCATGCCCTCCTCGCCCTTCGCGCAAAATATAATGTGTCTACACCACATGAGAGGGGCGAGGGACTTGAGCGTGTCCGGCCGATTCGGAATAACGGCGGCGTTCTCTGCTCGCATTCCATGTTAAACTCGAGGTTAAACTTCTCGTCGGCCGCCGTCGTCAAGTTCAGCGTGGTGGTGAACGCGCGCCGCCGTTGACCGCGGGCCTTTATTTCTTCAGTGTTGTGCGGCCGGCCTTATCGAGGGGGAGAGGCGGGGCTGAGAAATAGATACGGCGATAAGGGACGTCCCAGCATACATTGTACGGTGGACCACACTGCTGCCGTTCGTCGACTTGAATGGGGTTGGGGGCAGGGCAGGGCAGGGGGCGCGGTATCCGG